TTAAAATAGATGTAGGCTGTAGAAAAAGAGCAACATCCTATCATGATAACCTTCATTTAGACTGGCAGGGGGAATATTCTGTCAATTGTCTGACTTCAAGGTGGTATGTGAAGGGTGGGAAATGGGTTTGTGTTCTTTATTTTTGTTGCTTTTTGATGCATAAAGAAGGCTTGAAAATTATATTTGTTTTTTCCTCTTACTGATTTTTGTAATAGAAATTGAGGCTTTTTCTGCCTATATTCCATGGCAGACGCTATGGATGAACATACCTAGGGTAGAGGCAGTCCAATATGGACCTCCCAATGCAGATCTAGTTTACCTGGGTACTGATTAGATGCTATGGTGCTGGGTACTAGAGCAATAAACAGTTTTTGAAATATATTTAAATATCTTTTTCCTAAAGAAAAGGAGAGGGAAAACTGCTGGGAAATAAAATAAACTCAGGGCTTGTATAAAAGTTGATGTTCCTTACAGCAATGGGAACTATGCCCAGGCTGCACATTGGTCAGATTTTCAAAAGAGCTCAATTTGCTCTTAGTAGGAGCGCTTCAGTGTTCAGCACTTTTGAAAATCCAGCTAGACATTTAGGTGTCTGACTGAGATCTGAGCTCTTCTGAAAACCTGGCCCATTGTGTTTGTACATGCTACGCTCACCAAAACTATGTGAAAAGAACAGTATTGAGGTTACAAAGTCAAGCACTTAAAAGTTAGGAAATGCCAGGTCGTCTGTTCAATCTTAATTCAGATCTCTCATTCCGTGGAGATAGAATTTCATAGGAATTGAACTGCCAGAAACCAGGCAGGTTTCCAACAGAAGCCTTCCTGTCAGGCAGATTTTGGAACCTTTCTGGTTTCCTGCCACCTCTCCCACTGGCTCCTCAGCAGCCCATGTGGTGGACTGACAGGGAGCTCAGAGCCTGGGAGCCCCAGCTCTCAGTTCCTTAGCAATCCAGGCTTCCAGACTCCCCAGCATGTCAAATTTCAAGTCCTTGCTCCAAAGTATAAGGGCACAAGAGCTTCTCAAAGAAACGGTCACCAGAATTTATTAACATGGGCAAAACAACATGCATTTCCCTCGCCTTTTTCTTGGAAAAGGCCAAACTGTTTTGGCTGAAATGTTTCAAAAAAATTCAGCCTGAGGCAGATACCTTGCGTGGAAAGCTTCAGCTTGAGCATATGATTATGGTTTGACAAAAAGCAACCAAAAACCATAGTCTTATAATGGGAAGTGTCAGGCAACCTTCATAGTAGGTGGTGCTATCAGTTCTGCTTATAATATCATTGTGTAATGTATTGTATACCTTTAACAGCATACACATATAAATCCATACTCACTCATTAGCTATCTAAACAGTTAAGAAAAAAAAAGAAAAGAAAAACAAGATTAGAAAATACTATATTCTGCAGTGGTCTTGATTCAATATTGGGTTATGCCTATGGCAGCAAGGTCCTGGTGGTGAAAAGTCGGACTTAGGAGGGGTGAGGACTGCAATGACACAACCACCAGTGGCCCCAAAGAGAACAGTGTAGTCGAGGTCCGGATATGGTCAGGACAACTGGTGGGCGCACTGTAGGGTGACCAGATGTCCCGATTTTATAGGGACAGTCCCGATATTTGGGGCTTTTTTTTATATGGGTTCCTATTGCCCCCAACCCCCATCCCCATTTCTCACACTTGCTGTCTGGTCACCCTAGCGCACTGATTTAGTGGGAGACAGCTACCAAACCCTGATCAGTCACAACATGCCCTCACAGACTCCATTAAGGCCACCAAACTGAGTCCCTGATAGACCAAGGAAGGGAGCAAATTCCATGCTTTGGAACTCTACACAGAGAACACCTAGACTCCTATCCTCACACCTCAGGAATGAAAGCTATGCTCAGCTGGTCTCAATTGTTACCATGGGCATTGAGGAAGAGGCAGAGCTTGGTTCTTCACGGCCTCACGCCTGTGCAAAGTGGCTGAAAAGTGTCACCAGATCAGATTAATCTGCTCACTTACACCAGCAATGTGTTTTACACCCGCAAATGGTACAAGGCAGTGGAGAATCAAGCCTGCTGTCTCTGTAGCAAGAATGGTTACTATTTGCTCCATTTAAAATTAAGGTTCCTTTCTGTTTTATATGTTTGAGCTACACTATGGTGGAGAGGGAATGAGAAGAGGGGCTCACACTTAAAGTTAGACATGAATGAGCTTCTTTCTCACTTATCCTAAGGCCGCATTACACTCCTTTAAGGCCCCACTGCAGTGCCAGAGTCATTTAACGGGGCTTTGGGGTAAATGCGTACCTGGTCCTAATGATTTTTAATTGCTAACCATACGCTTTCCCCCATAATAGGAGTCACACTTGTGGGTCAGAATAGAGCTGCACCTTAGCCCAGGGAAAACAGGTGCCTGAATGTTGGCCATGGTACTATAGGTACATGGGAAGTAAAATTCTTTTGCAGCATTTAAATACTGCTTACGAACCACCGCAAATCAAAACAGTAATCCGAGCAGGAATGTTTACTGGCAAACTGAATGGCTTCCGGAAGGTTACAGTTGTAACCTATTTTTGTTTACCCAGCCTGGGTCATCACCAGTGGTTTCAAGATGCGAACCATTTTGTTGAAGTCAGCAGCACTTACTTGTTGACAGGCCAGACGGGAATGTGCATTAATCTCTGTTTTCCCTCCTCCAGCGGGTATGGTTACAAGGCGGTAACATACATAGATGGGCTTTAAAATAAAGGCTGAAATGGAGAGAGTTAAAACAGAAAATTGCCCTCACCTGCTTCCTTTATGTGCTTGTACACATCATCTGAGCCAGCGGAAGAGTATGGAATGTCATCATGGGCTACAAAATCAATCTGCAAAAGTTACAGGAGAACAAATAATCAGATGCAGCCATCAGGGAATCTGCATTGGTTTTGGAAGGACAGTTTCTCTTCTGAACTGCATCTGCCTGCCTTTGAAAGTCTCATCTGAAAGGTACTATTTAAAACATTGCTCTAGGGCTGGGGCTGCAACAGAGCACACCATGTGGAATTATGGTAGAACTCAGGACTTTGGGCTCCAAGAGTACAGGTATAACATACCCTTGCTTTGTACGTGATGTCGTCCTCTATGCACAAAGGATAAGGGACCTACTGCTGCTACTGTTACCTACAGGAGATCTCCTTTAACTCAAGTGGCAGAGAGTTGACTTTTAAAACTGAAGGAGCAGGGTTTCTATTCCCAGATTTGTGTGTATGCGTTTTGTTTATTTAGAAACTATCAAACCGTAGATTCATTACAAAGAACTATTTCATTTGAGCTAAAGTAAATTCCAGTGAGCTGGAGCTGCATTTGGGTTTATATACACTGTAGGGCAGTCAGTAGGGTGCAATTCACCAGGTCTGAAGTTCTATCCATTAGAGGACAGTGGCACACGTTCATACTTTTGGCTGATGATGGCATTCACTGAAATCATTGGGAGATTTGCCCTTGATTTGGTGGGAGCAGCAGGAGCAGGACTTTAATCAGAATGTACGGACCAGATTGTTAAAGTCCATTCCCCCTTTCTGCACCTGCATTTTGTGAGTGCAGTTCAGGGACATTTCATCATTTCAGAAAAATTCAGGGGTAGGGGGACAAGTTCTGTCAGTGTATAGAAGATTATATGTGGTTGTATTAGATCCTGCAAAATCTGGGGGGACGGAAAACAAAAGTGGAGCTCATAGAGCTATGAAAAGTTTGAGGAGGTCAAACCAAGGTCGAGGAGAGCAGTTGCCCTCCTTACCCCATAGCAAATGATGACCCTCGTGCAACTGATTCTTTAGCAGTTCTATGCCACCTGAAGATCCCCCTATGCAAATCAGCCCAAGCACACCAAGCAACCGGGCCCCAGATTTTCCCTAAAGAGAGACTGAGCACCGCTCTACCCTACAGAGTTAGGTCCCTACAAGGCAGTTTACATCAACCCAACACTGTAAGTGTCTACGCTAAAATTTTGCTCCTCCCAACGTAACTCGCCCGATATTCCGACTTAATAGCTCCACCTCCACGAGGGGCAGAGAGTCAGTGTCGATGTAGTTAGGTTGATGCTGTGTCAGTGTAAACACTGTGTTACATCGACTGTTGCTAGCTTTCAGAAGCTGCCCCACAATGCCCTGCACGGACAGTTCAATTGGTTCAAGTGCTCCTGGTGAGGATGCGCACCACTGAAACACACAAGCAATGTAATTACCGGATGCTGATGTAAATTAGATTGACTTAATTTTGTAGTGTAGACGTGGTCTGTAGTTTATTGCTAGATTAGTCCCTTATATCTGCCCCTGAACATTAACACAAAAAAGAGTATTCTTATTTGTTACAGTTAGGCTAACAAAAATTATCTAAGCATTATCCACTTGATTAATCCAGATGAGAGATGCCACCATGATCTCTTGTCCTATTGCTTTGATCCAAATCCTAAAAAATGCTAACTCTGTTCTTAGTACTGTGACAAAGTTCCTCCTCTATCTTGGTGGGTCCTGCGCTTATTGGCAGATTTTCCTGCCTCAGAGATTCACCATATGGGTTGGGGAACAGCCCAGAGACCTT